CTCTCTCACTCTCTCTCTCGCTCTCGCTCTCTCTCTCTCACTCTCTCTCTCTCTCTCTCTCTCGCTCTCTCTCTCGCTCTCTCGCTCTCTCGCTCTCTCGCTCTCTCTCTCTCTCTCTCTCTCTGTGCTCCCTGGTTCGCAACACGCCGCCGGCGAGGGCGCCTCACTTCCCGAAGGGCGCCCTTTTTCATTTCGAAATTTTAAACTAGGACAGAAAAGGGCACCCCCCCCCCAGACCTATATCTTCTACTGTCCATTTCTACCTCCTCTCCCTGTGGCTGACCCCACGAACTTTCTCTGTTACCACGTCTTTGCCCAGGTACTCTGGGAGCACCCCCTAAGCCAGAAGCTGGCTCTCGTCCCCTCCCTTCCCAAGTATACTTTTCCCAGCTGGTGGCACTACAATTGCGCTAATCCAGCGCCAGTTCTTCTCATTGTTGAGGAATTAGGGCGCATCTTTCTTTACATTTAATAATGCATTTTACATCATAAACATATTTCCCCAGATAGCGAAGCTATGGGGTTCTTACTTCAAATAACAATGAGTTGCCCGCGCGCGCTTTCGAGACAGGTTGCTGGTGCTGCGCGCCGGTGCTGGCGCTGGTGCTGTGAGCTGGCTGTGCACGTGGTGGAGACAGGTTGCTGGCGCCGGTGCTGGTGCTGGGTGCCGGGCGCCGGTGCTGGTGCTGTGAGCTGGCTGTGCACGCGGTGGAGACAGGTTGCTGGTGCCGGCGCTGGCGCTGTGTAAACCATCTTGCAAGGATTCCTCCACATCCAAATCCTCAGGATTTTGGTCCAACATTGGGCGTGAAGCTTTCCCCGTGGGTCTTCGAAGCTTTTGAGATTTTCTGGCGGCAACAAACTCCTCATTGAACCTGATGATCCAAGGCATTTTGGGCTTGGTACAGTGTCCAAATCTTGAAGGTCTCGGCCGCCACCTTCCTCATGCAATCTGCCAGATTCATGATTCATGTCCGAAGGAATTCAAGTTGGGTAGCAGTTGGAGCCATCTCGAGTGCCTCTCTGGACTGCCATCAACTCAATGCCTGTCTTGGCACTGTTCATTCCCAACAACGGGCTGTCACTGTTCGACAGTGCGTCATAGCACCCACGATTGTCCATGACCAAAAGGCTTTACCTGTCTCCATGCACCACGTGCGCAGCCAGCTCACAGCACCAGCAGCGCCGGCGCCCGGCGCCCAGCACCAGCGCCAGCAACATGTCTCCACCACCCGCGCAGCCAGCTCACAGCACCAGCACCGGCACCAGCGCCGGCGCCTGCCCACATGTTGCGGGCGCAGCAACGATCGATTACTGCTGTAAGTGCCTGAGTGTAGAGGGCGTGTCAGAACACGAGCATGAGTCAACAAGAACATACACTCAGGCATGACGCAACACTAATCGAGAAGTGTACCGATGCATAGGCCCAAGCTTTGACGAAAAGGTCATTGCGCTTCGCAGAATCAACATCGTTGACATGATCTCATGCGCAGCAAATTCTCAGACATGTGACGTCCTATATGTCCCTCTACGCAAGACTCAGGGGTTGAGGCGAAATTGCACCATGCTCACAGGCCACTTTGCATTGGTTCCCAGCTACAAACAAGTTCCATCTAGATACGACTAAAAATGACCCTATGTGGATTTATTGTGCTTCAGACACGGACTTTACGAGGTTCGTGCAACATATTGCGAACATTTGAAAGCGTGTTTCTTGAACAAGTACTTTTCGAACCTTTGGATTGGGACACATTTCAGCCGTCCCTCTATAATTTTATTCTCGTCCAAGGGTTTGGTTCTATCTGTCCATTGTCAAATCAATTGGAAGCATTTCTGGGCCAGGATCACATTTGTTATCAGCGTAATCAGCATATCCAGCGTAAACAGCCTAACGACCGTAAACGGCGTAATCAGCGTAAATGCCTAATCAGCGCAACCAGTGCGACCAGCGCAGCCAGCGCGGCCAGCGTAATCAGCGTACACAGCATAGTCAGCGTACCTAGCGCAAGTGAAGTACAACATGTTGTACGCAGTAACAAGAGCAGATCAGCGATTTCAGGAGCTGCTCTGGCTCAAAGAATTTTCAGAGGAGGTTCCTTCCTCTGCGTCCAGGCCGGTTGTTCCTGGCTGGTCTGGACCAGCTCTCTGAGCCATGTCGATGCTCAGGAGCCAGCCAGTGGCCGCGTGGTCCGTTCGTGAGCTGAAGCACATGACTTCGGGCGTCTCGGGACGCTTTTCGGAAGGCGTTGACTGGTGTGGGTGCGGCTCTCTGCACGTTCCACGCCTTGACCCCGGAGGCGCAAGCTGTCTTCCGCATCTTCATCGATGCCACGGTCAGCCTACGGGAGACTGACAACACTCGGGAGGACGTTTACATGCCACTGCCCAATGGCGCGTGACAGACGCCGTGTTGGCGTCCACTCAGATGGAGCACATCACCTCCAGCGTGATGGATACCCTCGCAGGAGCTCACTCCATGTTGGCCGACATGTGGGCCGCCCTGCCCGAACTGGAAGGGCTCCGCATGGAAGAGTTGGTGGAAGCGGTGTCAGCGACGAGCTGTCTTTCGCCTGGCCAGGAACGTATGGTCCTGGTCGCACATGTGAGTGGCACGATGGTCCGTGCCGTCACTGAGGGATCGCTGGCCCCTTTCAGGCATTTACGGACTGGCCGAAGCGCTGTGTCGGCATCCCCCAGAGGGCAGACATACACCTACTCCCCAACAACTGGTCGCACTGCCCAACGGCCGTCTGTTTTTCGGTCGTGCAGTCGGACAAGATCCGACGGTGCGAGGATTTCCGACGCGGGGCCCACAACAACACCATCGGAGCAACAGACATTCCCCACCATCACACCATCGGGGAGTATGCGTCGATGGTCACCTGGTTTAGAAACCACCAACACCAGCCCCACATTTGGGCCCACGACCTCCAGTCGTCATACAGGCAGTTCCCCATTGCGGAACCATGGCAGGGATTCACCCTGCTATTCGCACGCACGGGCCGACCCTGTGGCAACACCAGGCCCTCATGTCCGGGGCCACAGCCTCAGTGTGGGGCTTCAACAGGGCAGCTGACGCAGCAGCACACCTGTCCCGACAACTCCTGCTTACGTGCGCGACGCACTACGTGGATGACTTCGGTGGAGTCGAGCCTGAGGCTAGCAGCGCCTCTGGGTTCCAGACTTTCACAGTGATGTCTGACCTGCTAGGGCTCCGTATGAAACCCACAAAGGCACAACCCCTATCCTCCAAGCAGGAACTCCCCGGCATTGAGATCGAGGTTCCAGGACCCCGACATCATCCTTCGCCCGACCGAGTCCAGGCGGCGGAAACTCCGACAGGAGATTAATCGCATACAAGCCCAGGGGACGATGACACCGGCTGAGGCCAGCCGGTTGGCAGGCAAAATGACCCTTTTGAACACCACCGTCTTTGCCCGCGTGGGGGCTGCTGCCCTACGTCAGAGCCAAGGCCCTCGGTGGCTGCCCCAGAGACGACACATTCGCCGTGACACCTTCCCTGGCAGCAGCCTGTCTGGCACGAAATTTGCGCATGGAGGTTCACAACGCGCTGTGCCTGCCACGAAATCTGCGCATGGAGGTTCACAAAGTTCTGCGCCTGCCACGAAATCTGCGCATGGAGGTTCACAAAGTGCTGCGCCTGCCACGAAATCTGCGCAAGGAGGTTCGCAAAGTGCTGTGCCTGCCACGAAATCTGCGCATGGAGGTTCACGAAGTACTGCGCCTGCTGTGCCTGCCACGAAATCTGCGCTTCAAGAAACAAGTGAAAACTCTACTCACAATGGAGGGACGATTCCGAGCATGATCCGACCATGATCCGAGCATGACCTGAGACCGTCTCGCGCACAGCGTTCCGCAAAGCTAGACTTGCCAGCTTCGGAGCCACCCCTTCTATTGAAAAACGCAGCATTTCGTGCGTCCGCTATCTCTCGAGAATGCATTTTGTATTGCGCCTGCTACGAAATCTGCACATGGAGGTTCACAAAGTGCTGTGCCTGCCACGAAATCTGCACATGGAGGTTCACAAAGTGCTGTCCACGAACTCTGCACATGGAGGTTCACAAAGAAGTGCTGTGACTGCCACGAAATCTGCGCATGGAGGTTCACAAAGTACTGCGCCTGCCACGGAATCTGCGCATCGAGGTTCACAAAGCGCTGTGCCTGGCACGAAATCTGCACTTCAAGAAACAAGTGAAAACTCTAATCACAATGGAGGGACGATTCCGAGCATGATCCGACCATGATCCGAGCATGCCCCGAGACCGTCTCGCACACTGCGTTCCGCAAAGCTAGGCTGGCCAGCTGCGGAGCCGCCCCTTCTATTGAAAAACGCAGCATTTCGTGCGTCCGCTATCTCTCGAGAACGCATTTTGTATGTCGCCTGCCACGAAATCTGCACCTGGAGGTTCACAAAGTGCTGTGCTTGCCACGAAATCTACACGTGGAGGTTCACAAAGTGCTGTGCCTGCCACGAACTCTGCACATGGAGGTTCACAAAGTGCTGTGCCTGCCACGCAAACTGGAGCCAGCTAGAGCTATTGAAACTAGAGCTAACTGGAGCTAGAGCTCTTGAAAGTAGAGCTACCTGGAGTTAGAGCTATTGAAACTAGAGCTACCTGGAGCTAGAGCTCTTGCAACTAGAGCTAACTGGAGCTAGAGCTCTTGAAGCTAGAACTAACTGGGTGATGAGTGGTGTATGATGAGTGGTGTATGATGAGTGGTGTATTGATGAGTGGTGTATTGATGAGTGGTGTATTGATGAGTGGTGTATGATGAGTGGTGTATGATGAGTGGTGTATGATGAGTGGTGTATGATCAGTGGTGTATGATGAGTGGTGTATTGATGAGTGGTGTATGATCAGTGGTGTATGATGAGTGGTGTAGAGTGGTTCTTGAATGTCCGTAACACGGAAGTTTCGTACACTAAACTTCCTTTGACCACCGACAGGGTTTCTGATGAATATAATGTAGTTTGCTGCATGCCAGGTGCAGATGCGCACGTGGCGGTTGTCGGCAGCAACTTTGAGACGAATTCTTCTAGGTCAGCTTGAAACAACAATGCATTGAACTGTTTGAAATTTGAAACAGCATAAGATCATTCTGCATGGTCAAGAGGCAGCATGACTTGCTCTGCAGGCTATTGGTGGTGGTGCCGGCGCCAGGTGACTGCGGATGATATCTATCAATGTGGGGCTAGACTGAGCATTGCAGCCAGGTGATGCGGGTGTTTGGGATCCCACACTTGGCTTTTGGCTCAGACCAGCATTGTATTGTATACCCAATTGGCCAGATATTAGCCAAAATGGCTGGGATGTAAAGGCCTGCCTTCATTTGCTGGAAAAGTCGCGTAAGGAGAGCATGGGAAAGTTGCGCCAATGCTGCTCTGGGCAGAGGAGAGCCCGGAGAGAATTTGTTTTTGTGTAAGAAAGACAGGATTATAGATGGGAGAGAAGTCGCAGTGAATATATTCTGCTTGTTTGCTTGGTTAAGTCGGTGGGGTTTCCTCTACTTGCAGGCCAACAATTATGCCACTGCCTTCTTCAGCCACCAGGCCAATCAGAGTTTTGGATCTTCCTTCAGCATTTCACACGTACTCATGTACTTTGGATTTCAAGTCGCACGGTGCTTGCTAGCTTGGCATTGCTAGAATTGAGTGTGTTTTCCCTTTGTACAATGCTAGGCCTTGAGCGCAGCTCCGGCAGACACATGGGACAGAATTGTCCGTGGAAGCCCAGCCAGGCAGCGACAATGTATTTGTCACGCCAGGACAACTTTGCAGAAGGATATTAAATAAAGCAAATCGTGAGAAAAGTGAGTTGAGCGGCAAGATATGGCCAAGTGTTGAGCTCGCTAAATTCATCCGTGGGATAGCTAGTTGTTGAACTAGCGAAGCGAGTCAGCAACGTCTTTAGCTAGCCAAGGGTTTAGTTGTTTTGAGGGGTGTTCTATTTGAGGTTGAGCCAGCGAAGTTTGATTTAACCTCAAGCAGTTCATGTTGAAAGTTATCACTATCCCACATTAGCCTGCAGAGCATGCAGACCATCGCACTGTCACAAGTCACAGCGCTCTCGAGCACACAATGATTCCCTGTCGTGCTGGATGCGCCCAAGACATGATCCTATAAACCGTTTGAGTGGGTGTCTCTCTATTTTGCCGTGGAACACATGCTGGAAGATGAGTGAGAACACGAATAGATATTTTGTGCAAAGTATTGCGGGCATGATGTGACATGAGTCCTGAGGCATGCTGCTGTGATCGTTGCCTCCGGCATGCTTGGCTGCTTGCAATCAGCTTTGCAGCATGCATCTCAGGCTTTCTTGCCGGTTGGTCAACACCCCAAAAAAGAGAAAGGCTCCAGGCTTATCCTTCAGGATTGTCTTCTTTTTCTCACGTGGTGCATTTGTTGATTGTGACGGATGAAGCATGTGTGGGTTGGGCCCGTCTTCCATGCATTCGTACAACACTTGCATGCTCCAAAATTGAGGTCTGTGCACCCCCTTCTGACCTCCTTGCGCGTTTGACGAATCATGCTTGAACACTGAGGATGAACGACATTTGCAGATTGATGCAAACTCTTGATGTGCTCACAGTTTGTACAGTGAGTGCTGAAATGCAGATTCTCGCGTTTTCGCACAATATGTATTTTTGGAGCAGATGCCATGGAGGAGAGCAGAGTAGCTTTTTGAAGTTGTACAAGACAAGCCTAGGAGCAAGAAAACCATCCCCCAAAATGGAACATGCTGCAAAACTTTTGAACTTTTTGGAAAGACCTTTCTGCAGGACTTTAGTTCTTTGACTCCGGAACTTAGGCAGCACATGGAAAGTGCTTGCTTAAAGCATTAGGATATACAATTAGCTGCCGCCAAGGTGTTTTTCCAAGCCAACACGGTTTTAGTCGCTCAAACTTCAGGCGACACATGGAAGCTTCCACGGCGCGAGTCCTTGCCAGAAGATGTTGAAGGTGGAGGTTGCACCTGCTCTCACAATTTTTGTAAGAAAAAGACAGATGAGGTTGTGATACCTTCAACCTGGCAGCAACTTGACCTTCAGGCAAGATCGTTCTTGAATGTAATTTTGAGACAAGACCATCAACCTTTGCTTCTGATTATGAACATTTGCAACACACAACATTTACAGGTTGGGTACCAGTACTTTTTTGAGCTCCTCCGGGACAAGGAGGTCCGCACAGACTACCTGACCTTATCGCACTTGCACTATGGAAATTTGCCTGAAGGACAGGTGGCAATCACTGGAATTGAAGAAGTACTATGGCTTCCAGGTCTGTTTGGTCAACGGCCCGCAGACTCAAACTTCTTGATGGTCTGACAATCCTATTCCTGCATTCGAGCAACGTTTGTGAGGTGTGGACAAGTCTATTGGTAGACACTCCAGCTGTCCGTGACATGAAGTACAGTTTGCTGGGGTGTCAACATCATTTTGGTGGTCTTTTGTTGTTACTATATACATGTAGCATATATATATATATATATTGAAATAGTTTTTTTTCTCCCCTGCCAGGGTCTAAAGGAAAACGACATGCCGGGTCTAAAGCGCATGGGTGTCACTGTCCTAGATTGCAGAGAGCGGCAGAGACCAGAAAAGTCCTCACAAAGCACAGCCTGATTTGAGGTCGACCAACGAGTTCAGCGGTTGGATCGTGATCGCAACAACGATGAGCTGGCACGACTGCTCAAGAAGCATGAAGAGGCACCCAAACCGTGCCGTGGTGTGTCTTATATTGACTTCTGTGTGTTGAGGTTTTGAATATGTTATTGTTGATGCACTTACAAGTTTGCATGCAAGATGGGAAGGCAAAGAGCAAGCCAGAGGAAGGGAGTGACGAGGAGCCAGGTATTGATTGAGATTGGCCGTGGCACTGTGGCGCTTTTGCCTTTACAATGGACGCATCGACATTTCGTGAAAAAAGCGCTTTCGGGGATATCTTAGTTGCTAGTAGCAACCTGTGAAGCAAAACATGCTGTTTTGTCACCTTGCATCAGCATGTACTTGCACCAGCGGTTGGATCCCTGAACAGCAATGCAACCAGATTTGCGTATCAGACGTATTGCAGACAACAGCCTATGTGTTCGTGAAACTGCGGACTTATAAGGGGTTGAACAGAAACTGAGCTCAACCTCATGCACATACAGAAGCCTTGATTCCTCTTCGTTCCTTCATTCCAGCCATGCCGCACAAAATCCTTGCAATATCATGCTTGTCTCAGGCCGTTCTTGCAGGCCTGGCCTACCTCATTCCTTGGTTTGTCAATCAGCAAACAAGAGATTCTTCACTCAGGCTATCGGGAAGTCAATGAGGATAGTATCTTGGAGATCCTGAACGAGATGACCACTGAGGAGTGCGAAAGAGCACAGACGACCTCACATTTGTTAGTTTGTAATTTGCAATGCAGACCATTGCAGTTTATGTGGTGAACACAGGAAGTGGTCTGAAAAATACTTGCGTGACTGCGCTCCTGTTTGTTTCAAGGAAAAGTTCTTGCAAACCTGCATCGACTCCCAATGCCCTGAAGGCCGTGCAAGGCCATCAAGAGCCTGGGCTTGCTGAAAATGGAGCTGACTTGTACGGACTGAAGAAAGGACTTTTTGGTTCTACATTCAGCCACTGACTTATATAGTGGCTTTTGCCAGGTGGCTTCTTTGTGATGTTTTTGGAGGTGGCAGCACTTCTGGTGGCGGCGATGCATGGTTCAATTTGAAGGATGCTCATCCGAATATGGTGTCTGATTAACAAGTAGGCACATGATCAGAATGCATTTCATTCTCACGCTGTTCGCAGGACATACCACGGCTCAGAATCCGCGGACTTCGCATGCGAGATGGCCCGAAAGGAATGACTTGCAGCTTGTTTGCGCACCTTTGCAAGGCGTTGAAACGGAATCGGTGAGAGTGCTGCAATCTCAAAAGCGTTTTATGTTTTCTTTTGTGTGTAATTATATTCTTGCAATGTTAAAATAATGTTATTACACCACCGTAGACCCCAAACAGTTTGTGTTTTTCAAAATCGAAACTAGAGCTGGGAGATAAATGTAAAGGATTGCAAGGCAGAGACGGACACAGCAGTACAGAGCGGGGGGACACATCTTAAGAAAGAAGTGAGAAGCCCTAACAGTAAACCTTTTGGGGAATTATTCTTCAAGCGCGAACATGATGCTGGTCATGCTGCTCAGTCAGCGGGGAGCTGACCACGTGAGGACAAGAAACAAAAGCATGAGGAGCGAAGGATGTGAAATTGATTTTTGGTGCCTGACATATGCCCTCCGCCCCAACTGAATAGAGAGATCGCTGCCACACCGCCGAAATCCAATCCGGTCATTCATCCAACAGTTGCCCGAGAAGGAAAACAAAGCTGAGAGAGTTACACAGTGCGGCAGGAATGCAATCCCGGAGACAGTCACGCACCCCTTGCAAAGGAGCAAGAACCTTTCACAGGCGAACCTGTTCCAGCGGACAGGGCAGAAAACAGCAGTGCAGGCACCAAACCTGAAAGACAAAAAGAAAGAAATCACATGGGAGACAAATGAATAGAAATGCTACATGGCCAGCGGAAAAGGGCGGCAGCACCAGTGACAGACCCGGGAAACAAATTAATAGAAATGCTGCATGCCCAGCGGAAAAGGGCGGATACCAACAGTGACAGACCTGGGAGACTAATGAATAGAAATGCTGCACGAAAAGGGCGGACACCAGCAGTGACAGACCTGGGAGACAAAACACTGGCAGTGACAGACCTGGGAGACAAATGAATAGAAATGCTACATGGCCAACGGAAAAGGGCGGACACCAACAGTGACAGACCTGGGAGACAAATGAATAGAAACAGCGGAAAAGGGCGGACACCACCAGTGACAAGCCTGGGGGACAAATGAATAGAAATGCTGCATGGCCAGCGGAAAAGGGCGGAAATTAGCAGTGACAAAGACAAATGAATAGAAATGCTACATGGCACCAGCAGTGACGGACCCGGGAGACAAATGAAGCATTTCTGGGAGATAAATGAAAAGAACCGGGAGACAAATGAAAGCAAGTGTAGGGCGGGAACCCGACCACAAGCACCCAGCCTGGGAGACAAATGAAAAGAAGTTGGTGACAAATGAAAAGAAGTGGGAGACAAATAAGAGGAAGTGGGAGACAAGCCGGCCGGGAACCCGACCACAAGCAGAAAAGAAGTGGGAGACAAATGAAAGGAAGTGGGAGACAAGCTGGCCGGAAACCCGACCACAAGCACCCAGCCTGGGAGACAAATGAAAAGAAGTGGGAGACAAATGAAAGGAAGTGGGAGACAAGCCGGCCCGGAACCCGACCACAAGCACCCAGCCTGGGAGACAATGAAAAGAAGTGGGAGACAAATGAAAGGAAGTGGCCTGAAAGACAATGAAAAGAATTGGGATGCAAATGAAAGGAAGTGGGAGACAAGCCAGCCGGGAACCCCGACTGAAAAGAACTGGGAGACAAAGGAAGTGGGAGACAAGCCGGCTGGGAACCCGACCAGACCATCCAGCACCAAGGCGACCATTCTTTAAAGCATTGAGAACCCCTAACAGTAAACTGTTTGGGGAAAAAGACTGATTGCAAAGCTTCTTTATGCTTTTGCTTTTGCTAGTTTTCCTTTTTTAGTTTTTTCGGTTTTTGGGGCCCTTTTGCCAGCAAGGTCAGGGAGGTGCTGTCGTTTTCAGCCCACCCTGCCCCCCCGATGGCGGCTCTCCTTCCTTTCCTTCACAAATCACTCGGGCAGCGACATGGAACACACAGCTTCTTTGCCAAAGAAACATTGCAGAAAGAAGATGAAAGAGGCATGAGTGCATAAAATCAGATGTGTGAAACACACACAGACACATACAACACAAACGCATGAGTGCTTTGAAGATGATTTGCGTGGGTTGGGTCCAGCATTGATGACGGGGGGTATATTTTAGTGGAATATATATATATATATATGTCTTTTTTCTTTGGTGGGATATTATTGTTTAAGGTTTAGCTGGCTTGGAGGAAGGAAGGCAGGGAGGAAGGAAGGAAGGAAGAAAGCAAGAAAGGAAGGAAGGCAGTTGCAAAACTTTGCCCAGATACCCAGCGCAGCGACCATTGCAGTTATCAAAGGAAGATTCTTTGGGGAAACTCCGTGACGTTTGTTTTTTGGTCGTGCCAAGTTACACTACCACAAACCAACCAACTTTGCCATGGTTATGAACCGACCAGACTGCTGTTGTTATTAGTTTGCATTGCGGGGGAGGCGCTGCGCCCTTCCCCGCGCCCCCTCCCGCTTTTAATTTTAAGCGTAGAAATAGTTTCCACTCAAGCGTCCACATGTCATGAAACACGTGCAGCCTTTGAAAAAGACATGTAAAAGGACACTTGAAAGAACATTTAAAAGGAAATTGCACAGCATGTTTAAAGGACATGAAATAGGGAATTCAAAAGCAAATGTGAAAGGCTATTTATAAGGACAGTTTAAGGAAAAACATGAAATTTAGGAGGGGAGAACCATGCAAAGGAATTTTACAACAACATTGTAAAAGGACATTTAGAAGGACAATTGAAGTACATATTGGAGGACATATGCACGACATTTGGGGGGAAATTTGAAAGGAAATTCAATGGACATTTGAAGGGACATTTTAAGAATGAATTTTAAAGAACATTGCAAAGGGCCTACAAATTGAAAATCAATTAGAATTTTAGATCTCATTATAGTGCAGAATGCTAAAGCCAAAAAAGTATCCAACTAACACAATTAATCAAAACTAGTTGAGAATCAATTAGAACTGACCAAAGCCACATGAAAAATACAAAAGAGCAAAGCACACCAAAAAAATATACAGAAGAGGAGACCACGGTAGTACACTTTTTTCTCATTTTTGTTATTTTCCGCACTGCATTCAACCACAATCATTACAATACCTGAGTCTCTGCACTGCACTGCACTGCAGTCATGAACCACACAGTCATCATGTCTGAATCTCTGCACTGCACTGCCGTCAAAAACCACAATCCAAAAAATCCAAAAAACACAAACCTATTAACCCACTAGTCTTTGCTTTGGATTTTTTGTTTGTTGGATTTGGAGACTGGGTCAAAAACCATACATAATCCAAAAAATCACCGAAACCAAAAAAGCAAAAACTATTAACCCAATAGTCTTTTCTGCACCAACATCCATTGGGTTGGATTTTGGTGATTTTTGGGATTTGGAGACTGTCAAAAACCATAATCCAACTAATAGCCTTTGCTGCACCAACATCCATTGCGTTGGTTTTTTTGGATTTGGAGACGGTGTCAAAAACTAGCTCGTTGCCCAAGAACACAAGAGATTGCACCAGAAGACAAACCTGTGGAAAATATGGAAGATGTAATCTTTGAGGATCTTCCATGGGAGAAAGCTTTGAAAAAGACACCGCCGCCGGAAAGTGCAGTCATGTCAGAACCAGCTGGAAAGGAAGCAGCGCAGAAGAAAGGCCGTCAAGTTCTTTGCGGATTCAGGTGATTCAAGAGCGATTAGGACAAGCACAATGTCAGGACATTGAGATGCACCACTTGGATGAAGTAGTCGCTGAAGAGAACTTCTATGCTCTTGAGGTGAACTTTCAGGAGGACAAAGAAGAGATAGAAATGAATTGTGGAGCAACGAACGATAGAGTGCAAGGCAAGTAGATCTACTTGCAGACAAAGTCGAGGAAAAGCGGCTGGAAAGGATGGGAGTTTGGGGATCTTCATGAGGAAGAGCAAGACTTGGAGATCCTTACGGCTCGCTTTGTCCACGACAGGCGAATTAAGACAAGGAGCTTCAAGAAAAGTAAAGAACAGAAACAGTGGCTTAGAAGATGACGTCTTGTGGCAAGGGAGTTTGCCAACGCCAAGAGGAATGATATATTGTCGCCGACTTCAAGCGCCCATGCACTTCGTCTTTTACCAGTGATGTTTTTGATGGACAGAGGACCAGAGTTCAGCAAGAAACACCGGTGACGGGAAGCTTGGACATCAAAGACGCATTCCTACACGTGGATCAGAAGAAGGAATTTCAGGCGACAACGAACCTAGGAAGATTCCGAGCGTTCAAGAATTTGCCAGGTCAACGACAAGGAGCTCAATGCATGGTTCAACCATTTAGTTGAGTTCCTAGACAGCATTGGATGTGAAGTCTGCAGAGAGACCGCATGTCTTGAAGAAAGGCAGACCAAGTCTTTGTGCTTATCCATGTCGTTGACATCCTGTACTACGGACAGGAGGAGGCAGTCCAACACTTCATTGGACGACTGAGAGAGAAGATTGAAATCTCAGTGAGCCAGATGAAGATAGCAGGAGATGAGTCGAGTTCAATTTCTGAAGCGTACCTACAACCTTGGGAATGGCTTGTACATAATGCCAGGACGGTATGCCAGTGACTTGATCAAAAACTTTGAGGATTTCTATGGTCAAGCCAAGAAGCAGAAAGTGCCCTCAGGACCAGAGATTCAGGAGGCAGATGGATCTGAAGAATTAATGTCAGAGGAAGTAGCGTTACAGATCTCTAGTGGGCAGTGGCACTTACTGATCACAGGAAAGGTTGGGTTTGAGCTTCACGATCAAAGAACTTGCATCCTCTATGCTGACGCCAACAGCATTAACATGAGCAGAATGAAGAAGCTAGTTGGCTATCTTAAGTCAACAGAAGGTCAGCGCGTGAAGATGCCATTTCCAACAAGAGTTCGTGGTATGTGCGTACTATCAACTCAGCAGATTGGAGCGGACACAAAGGACACAGGAAATCAACATCTTCATCTGTACACGCGGTGAATGGATGTGTTGTCTTTAGTCAGTTTGACCAGCGCTGAAAGTGAACGACATGCATCAGTTGGAGGTGCGTGCGATGGAGTATTCATTCGGCAATGCCTCAAATTTCTGACAGACGAAGAAGTCCAACATGTTTGCCTGATGGACAACTCAGCGACAAGACAGATCACGTGCAAACAAGGAAGTGGAAAGCTGAGGCGCAATGGTGGAAAGCCCCTATGGTGTCAAGAGGTGTTTTCTTCAAAGGAACTTGAAGTGAAAAGAGTGGAACCGTTCACAATGTGTCAGACATTGGAAGCAAACCGCTGAGCCAGCAATGATTGAGATTCGCACTGCACAAATGCCATGCAATTGATGGCGATGGCAATAGAGTCGGTGAGCAGGAAAGACAGGAAGTTGAAGAGAGAGAGAGAGAGAGGGACAGACAGAGAGAGAGAGAGAGAGACAGAGATACAACGCGGCAAGGTTCAAAGATTAGCCAAAGCACTTGACAAGGTTATGTATGCAAGCGGCCTTGGGTCAGCGGCGCAGGCGGAGAGAACTGAAGTGACACTGCAGGAGGAGAGCTTGTCAAGGACATGGTTCTGGGTGATCCTTTTTGCAATGGCAGCAGTTCTATTTGGCGTATTCCTGATCTGGAACCAGTACAAGAATCTAGAGAAGAGGATGGAAGAAAACGAGTTAGCTTTGAGACCTCAGATTTTAGGATTGAGTTCAGCAAAGGACGAAAGTGAGGAAGCCAGACTCGAGTTCAAGTCCTATATGAGAGATGATGCCAACGCCTTCACAGAGCCATAGTGAAACAGAACGGCTATGTGGAACTAGAAGAATTGACAACTGAAGACGAGAGATGTGTGAAGTTTCTTGAGAAAGGCAATCAAAAGTGGGGACAGAGAAAATGGCAGAAAGACTCATGGTAAATGAAACTAATGTGAGGAGACGAGGAGTAGATCAAGTAGAATAGAGGAGGAGACGAAATAGAGCTGATGCTCCGCCGCCTTCGATAAGAGGAAATGGCGCAGGGGCATCAAGCTTGGGAGAAGAAGAGAAAATGAGAAGAATTTGAGTGGCATGACAGCCACAGTTGTACTGGATGATGGAAGAGAACTCGAAATTCGAGTGGAATACCTTAGTGCAGGATTGGTGCCAAGAACAATGGATGAGAGGCACCTCCACCGTTCGAACCACCAGATGAACCAGAAGTAGAAGTTGAAGGACCAGAACGTTTAGACAATGACGTTGGTATGCCTTATACCGCACCAATGAAACTACTGAAAAAGGAGAAGCAACAGATGGACCAATAGATGTTGATGGGAACATGGACACGTTGAGAGCCAGAGCGTCATTGCAGGCAAGAGAAGAGTTGTTGAAACTTGAAGACAATATCAAGTTCCACAACAGAGTTGGTGACAGTGTGAAGCTGCGAGGGCTCTATGAAGAACTACAGAAAGTGTTGATTTCATCACTGACTGCTTGAGAGCATGAGAAAAAGGAGAGTGGCTGCATTAACTCCGCCACCAAAGGGGGAGCAGGCTGTAACAGGTCCGAGAAAAGGAGCCCTTTCGCACAATGAAAAAGTATTTTCAATACTCTCAAACGATATTGCGAAGTAGTTTGAGGTAGATGAACCAAAACAATGGACATACTATATACATGATGACCTTACAGGCCTGACGGAAGAGCAGTTAAACAAGTGGTATGTTGAAATGCAACCCTCTACCGTCGAGAACGACCTGAGATAGAGGTTAATCTTCTTTTATCGTTTATCAAAAGATCGGCGTTTTATAAAACAGCATGTATTGGTAAATGAATTGTAACTCAAAAGAAGCGTGGAACCAACAAAATGTCGAAAACAACAAACTTCAAGAATGTTATTCGATATACATGGTCACATGGTATTCTGGTGAAGGTTCTTTGGAGGTTGTATTTTTGGATCTTAAACAGAGATACAAGTTTTCGTTTACAAAGTTATTACTAAAATACA